CGACGATGGGCACGCTCACGAAGGCGACGTGGACCAAGCGCGACACGCACATGCGCCAAGCCACTCTCCATCTTTCTTCAACAAGCTCGCCTGGCTGGAGCAGCGGTTCCTCGTGCAATCGCGCCTGGGCGTGATGTGGGACAGCTCGTGCAACTTCCTCAGCGTGCGCGCGAGGCTCTCGCCCTCGTTTTGCAGAGAGATTGCTCGCTGTCTCCGAGTGCGCTTTACGTCCTTGGAAGATATGGAGGCCTGGGTATGGCGAAGAAGGCGCCGCAGTCGCACCGCGTCCTCTTCGCCTTCATCGCCTGCTTCTTTTTCGTCGACGTCCTCATCCTCGTCCACCTCTGTCGTGCTGGCAGCCCCGAATACAGGAGGCTCAGCATCGCCACCAACGTCGTGGGCGCTTCACCATGGTGGTGGTGGTGGTGGTGGTGGTGGTGGTGGTGATGCTGGCAGCGGTGGTGGTGATTGTGGGCCAAGCGACGACAGCGGCCGTGGTTGCGGCGGCAACCTCGCTGACACAGAGAGTCACCAACGGCACCGACAGCAATCACACCACCACCAGCAGCCACACCACCAGCCACAACAACGTCAACATCACCAGACACAGCAACAGCCACAGCATCCGGGCACAGTTGCATTGCGGCCATCTGCGTTCTCTCTCAACGCTCGCTTGTGCAACCAAGACGATGCGCGCCAGTTCAGCGAGCTGCGAGAAGGCGCGTTACATGGCGCCTCCTGCGAGGAGCTGTGCCTGCGCATGTGTGGCAGCGGTGTGGACGAACTGTGTAATCAGAAAGCGCGCGCTGTGACGGTGGAAGCAAGGGAGGTGCCATTGCCATCTCTGCAGGCACGCCGGGTGCACCGTCTCAACTGGCACGTGTCGCGTCAACAGCGCGCGCTCACAGGCCGCCTTGACGGCGTCCGGCGTCTTGACCTTCATTCCGACGCCACATCAGCACACACAGGCGCAGCAGCGCATGACTTGAACATCGACGCCATTGCCAGCATCCCTGACGTTCGCATCTGCCAAGTCCCGCACGTGGTGGACGTCAGCGCGTTGTGCAATGTCCAGCATGTGGTGTTGCGAGAAGTGGGCGTGAGAGATATTTCGCCGCTGTGTGATGTTCCACGTGTGGAGGTGTGCGCTTGTCGAAGCGTGGGCACGTGGAACCTCGTCCTCAACAGCACGCACGTGACTCTCGAGTCCTTGCCTGCGCTGTTGGGGTGGCTGCAGCTGACACGTGCCACGCATGTTCGAGTCCGAGACTGCGACCGCCTCGAGAAACTCTCTTGCACGAGCACGCACATGGACTCCTTTGAAGTTTGCTCCTGTGCACGGCTCAAGAAAGTGACCCTGCCATATTTGCACGAGCCACCAAAGACAAAGACCCACCAGCACCAGCAGTCGCACCACCGACACCAGCCGCCCCCATCACCGCAGCCCCACCACCACCGACATGAGATGAAGCTTGTGCGCGTGTCCAACTGTGCCAACCTGGTGACGTTTGAGGTGCCGCATATACAGCACGTGCACAGCTTTGAGCTGTCGGACTGCGCTGCGATGACGGCGTTTGTATGCGGCATGCGGGCAGTGGAACACACACTCTCCTTTTCGTCGTGTCCTTGCTTGAGCACGCTGCAGGTGTCACGCCTCAACAGCGTCGGGGAGTTTCGCCTGAGCAGCTGTGGTGTCACCAGCATGGTCTGTCCCTGTGCCACTGCCAAGCGCATGCGCGTACACAGCTGCCCTGCTCTGCAGTCATTGCAGCTGCCGCACCTCGTCGATGCAGACGCTCTGCGCGTCGAGAACTGCTCGTCTCTCAGAGAGGTGGCGTGTGCCGTGGTGCACATCGTCCACTGGCTCACTGTGGGGCACTGCGACAGGCTGACACGCCTGCATCTGCCCAAGCTTTGCCAGTTCTCCAGCTGCACCGTGGTTGCATGCGCCAGTCTCGTCCACTTTGTGTGCAATGCCATGGACATGGACGTGTTCCAGGTGAGAAACTGTGCCAAGCTGCAGTCGCTGAGGCTGCCACGGCTTGTGCGCGTCGGTGAGCTGCAGATGACGCACTGTGACGCCCTTGCCGCCATCGTCTGTAACCTGCAGACTGCAGAGCGCAGCATCTGCGTCGAGCACTGCAAGACCGTCAACCGTCTGGCACTTCCCAAGATGGAGTGTGTCCGACGCATGAGTGTACATCACTGCGATGGCCTCACCGAGGTCCAGTGCCACGCCTGCACGAAGCTTGACCGCCTTCGCGTCGTCGACTGCCGCCAGCTGCACTCGCTCGAGCTGCCCAGGCTGACACGTGCGCAAACCATGGAACTGGCTGGCTGCCCTTCGCTCGGGGCGTTCTCCTGTGGCGTGACCAGCGTCGATCACCTCACGGTGCAGAACTGCGAAAACCTCGTCAGCCTCGAACTCAGAGCGCTGGAGCGAGCAAAGCAACTAACACTGGAGCGCTGCCGCCGCCTTCCCGCGTTCGTCTTTCACGGCGACGAGCTGGCCGAGCTGCGCGTGGAAGCGTGCGATGCACTGTCGTTGTTGCTGATGCCCTCCGTGCGGCGCATGCGGCACCTCTCTCTCCTGCACTGTGCCGGGCTGGCGTCGTTCTTGTGTGATGTGGAGGAGATCCGGCGTTTGCGGGTGGTACACTGCAACTCGCTCGCGCTGCTCATTTTCCCCGCGCTCAAGAGTGTGCTGGACAGCCTGGAGGTGTCGTCGTGCGCAGCGCTGCTCTTCTCTCGTGCGACATCACAAACGCAGGGCGCCTGTCCATAAGCGGCTGTGACAACCTGGTCAGCCTCATCATGCAGTCGCTGGACAAGGCGCGCTCCATCCAATTGTCAGACTGTGGCATGTTGGAGAGCTTCGCCTTCAACGGCGCAGAGTTGTCACAGATGGGGGTGAGCAATTGTGCCAAGCTTGCTTCCCTGGCGTTGGGCAGGGTCACGCGCATGCAGTCGTTTGAGCTGGAAGGCTGTCCGGCCATGCAGGCGTTTTGTTGTCCTCTTCGGGAGGCGGACGCGCTGCGCATTTCGGACTGCACCAGCTTACTTGCGGCTGACTTGAGCAAGATGCAGACGGTTGGCATCCTCTCGCTGTCGCAATGCAGCCAGCTGCGTCACGTTGTGTTCTCTGGTCAGCGCGTGGGTCGGCTGCGGCTCCTGCGCTGTGACCGTATTCAGCAGTTGCTCCTTCCGAAGCTGGAAACTGCAGATGTGGTGCATCTGGCCGATTGCCCAGCGCTAGTGACCTTTCACGTGCACGAACAATGCCGAATCTCGCAGCAGGTTTACGTGAGGCGCTGCTCTGACGTGCTCACGCTGTCCCGAACCCTGAGCACGGAGGAGCTGAACACGGACATGCCGTTGATGAGTGTGCTGCATGATCACGCGCGCCTTCGCGTGAGCACGCTCGAGCTTCATCACCAAGCCATTCGCGACCTCACACCGCTGCGCACGTTGCCTGATTCCGTGCAGGTGAAGGTGTTTCACTTCACACCCGTGAATTGCGCGGTGTTGTCTGCACCGCTCGCGAGACTGGCATCCATAATGGGCACCACCAACCCAGCAGCAGTCGTAGCGTGAATGAGCCACTCTGTCGGCTGCCTCGTCAACCACAAGGGCGGCAGCAGCGGCGACGAGAAGCGGGTGCTGCCAGATGCATTCGCGAGCTTCACATGTCTGTGACGCCGTACTCGACCACAGACATATACCCGTGGGGGCACGTGCGGGACCTGAGCGTGAGTGGTGGGGATGCGACCACAAGCAAGATCACGGGGCTGCAGGATGCCAAGAACGTGGACGTGAGGCGCTGCTGGCTTGCTGAGGCCATCTCGAACTGCCATCGGCTCAACCTTCATTCTTGCTCTGGCAAGGTGAATATCACGCGCGTCCCCAATCTGACGATCACCAACGGCACACTCGTTCTGGAGAGCGTGGCGCACGTGCAGGCCATGACACTGGCCTCGCTCACGCTCAACCTTGGTGTTACTCACAACGTCGACACTTGCCGGCTGACCATGTGCACCATCCGCAACTTCAGCGGCCTCTCGGGTGTACGGCACCTTGAACTGGAAAATTGCAGCTTCAATAGCATCGACACCCTTCCTGCGGTCCGGCGGTTGCGTGTGCACCGCTGCCGCACGATTGTGGGTGAGGGCGAGTTTCCTTTCCGGCGCTGGCGAAGCGTGAGCCTTCACAACCCAACGCAGTTCATCATACACTCGGCCTTGAGTCCTTCTGATGGAGGGTGGGTTGAGGACGATGATGGCAGCATGAGTGAGAATGGGAGTGATGGGATTGACAGCGACCCAGACAGAGAAGACGAGGACGACATGGATGACGAGGGGGACGAGGATGAGGACGAGGATGAGGACGAGGAAGATGACACCTACGATGAGAATGGAGACTACAGCGCACCGCTGTTCAATGAGTGACAGACACAGAGAGAGAGAGAGAAGGACAGAGAAGGACAGATGAGGACAGAGGAGAGGGAGATGGATGTCTCGTGTGCACGTGTACATTTGTGCGCATGTGTGTTTGTGTGCGCATGTGTGTTTGTGTGTGTATGTGTATGTGTGCTTGTGTGTGGACGTGTGCGCCAGACAAGCAGACACTCTTTCCTCCCCACGCTGCCATACGATACCCCGAATTTCCTTCAAGTAAACGAATGCACTTTGTCAGCGAGCAAAACCGTTTTCCACGCTCTCCTCTTCGTTCGTCTTTCAGCATTCAAACTCTCCACCAACCAAACCCACCTGCCCTGATCACAGTCGCAACCAGTCGCAGCAGGCACA